GTTGTGTGTCCCCACGGAAAATGTAGGGAGTACCTTGCTGCTCATCTATGGCTCGGAAGAACGTAGAGGCAACACGCTGGATGCTGGCCATAGCAACTGGGTCCTCTGGATTGATACCCTTACGACGGAGTTGTGTTTCTATTTTCTTGATGTTTAATTTCTGCGATTCAAGTGCTTGTTCAAATCTTGCCTTGAATAATGCCTGCAATGAGAATACTTGTATCAAGCCCCATGAGCCATAGCAAAGAATAAACAATGTAACTAAATTATTCAGTAACTAAAAGTCTTCTTAATATAATGATATGCAGTTCTCCTGCATGTTCGAGAAAAAAAAAAGTCCTGCAAAGATGGAGATAATCAATTTGAGGCGAAAGAAAGATACTCCATTGGAGTTAACCATATGAAACCTAAACAAACCAGTACTCTAGGAATTGGTTATCATAAATACCATACAGATAACATGTGTCATCCAAAGAATGGTAAGTAGAATGAAATAGCAAGGAAATGCAAACTGAGACAGACACATCAGTTGCAAGGGACTGACCTTCCTTTTGGTAAGTGTGTTGAAAGGTATAAGGTTCTTCGGTTGACGGTAGTTTCTTCCTCGAAACATGATGATTGTTTTGGTATTATGAATGTTGATCACCATTCCACCACTTAATCTTGTCAGCATTGCTGACATTTCCTTAATTTTTTCCTTTGGGAAGTTGTCACAACAAACTTGCACCGTCTCATGGAATTTCCAGTGCATATGCATGTTTTGAACAACACCTCCAAAGACACCACGAACTCCAACAGGCACATAGTTTCTATTTCTGAATCCAATCTTCTTGTAAGCTTGTAGTTGCTCAGCTGTTAACAGCTCAGGATCATGACGAGGAGCTGGTAAGTCTGGTAGCTCATACTTCTTGAGCTTCTGTAGGAGCAAAGCAACTTTTTTCTTGGCCTAGATAAAAGGAGATGGAGAATATGATAAGTCAAGGACTTTGCGAACTAAAAGAATAGGCCAAAGACAATAGACGATGCAGTTTGCTTAGATCTTCATGATACATCTGGAAATTACTATTTTTTTTTAATTTTCAACAGGTGTGCCAGATCAGCTAGTATTAAGCATCCAATCACTATACAAATAAGCCATATGTTTTTTGTCATTTATTGACACTGAATTTTCTTCAGGCCTAAAGGAATGCAAGAAGTGTGTTCGTTACCAGTCACATTTATTCATTCAGAACACAAGAAATGCTCCACAGGCCTTCAAAATACCATGATATATGCATGACATACATATTACCACATAATTTTGGGATTTGAAAACCTTATAAATCATGGGAACTGTATGACGCTTAAGTATGTGTACAAAAGGTGTGGTTGACTTTACAATCTTCTATGTTAGCTATTTGATTCCTTCAGATAAACAGAGTAAAACCCCCAAACAATACAGCCGTATTCACCATTTTCAGGGATGAACAATTACTTGTGCCAGTTCCTCAATACCAATACTTTTTATTTAACATTATGTTAGAACCAAAACACAGGTTTGGGGCTGAATTTTAGATTTCATTAGCCATGCCACAACTATGGCAGGTTGGGGATACATGTAGGATAGCTTGCTTGAGCCTTAAGAAAGCTACAACATATTCTAGAGATGCTAAAGTAGATGCTAGGGATAAAGATAAGGGCTGACACAGCCATCAACTACTCTAGATAATTCCAAGACTTATAGCTGTCACATTACACCCTACATTCCCAATTCCTCTCCATAAATCATATAGACAGCAACTCTTTCAACAAAACAATTCCCACATCGAAGAAGTAGGTCAGTGCTGATTTCCACGAGGGAAGGGGAAATGGGGGGAAGTTTGAAGCCTCCTTACCCTGCGCAGGTTGTAGATAAGCTTCTCGTCCTCGGTCATGAGCTTCTTCCTGAGCTTGACCGCGCGGCGGAGCTCCCGCTGCGTGCGGCCGGTCTCCCTCGCCATCCGCTTCTCCACCTTGCTCCGCATGCTCCTCCCCTTGGTCGACATGGTCCGCCGCCACGCGCCGTCGGCTCCCGCTCCCGCCGCCGGCAGCCATGCGGGCGGCGGAGCGGAGCCCGAGGCCGCGGCCACCGCCTCGCCCCTCGCGGCGAAGCGCCCGGAGCTGTACCGCCGCAGAAACACACACACGCGCTCGCGTCAGAGATCGAGAGGGATGGGGGGAGAGCGGGTGCTACTGCTCCGGAGGCGAGAGGGAAGGGGGCGGAACGCACCTGCGGCGGAGCGACGGCGAGGCTGCCCGGAGCAGGCTCCGGAGAACCCACATGGCTGGTTGGGCGCCCCCCGCCGACGCACAACGGTTGTGGGAGCTCTTCTGGAAGGCGCCGCCGCTGCGGCTCCGGCGGAGGCGAGGTGGGTTTAGGAGGCGGAGGGGCGCGGCGGCGCGATAAACCCTGGCCAGGTGGGGGGGACGGCGGGGGTGGGTTGGGCTGTGGCCGCTGTGCGGGTGCGGCCGGGGGGAGCAGGAGCCTGATTGGCCGTCGAATGCGAGATGGTGGCCGTGAGCCGTTCGATCTGATGGGTCGGGTCAACGGCTGCAATGCAAATGCAGTCACTGTGGCAGGGAAACAGAATTTTAAGCGAATTGTGAAAACCTTTTGAGCCCGCTTTATGGAAAAGGCAGAGGCTGCAAATTCAGGCCTTCGTATGGTTCATAGAAAAAATGGAAGAAAAATATAAGATTGAGAATTCTATAAGAAAAATTGCTACTGTTTATATCTTTGGTTCACAGAAAACGGAGCATACGAATATCGATAATGCTCCACCACGGGCATCCGTTTCGCGTCGGTCAATCTAAACGCGGCTAGCTAGGGCTGCGGATCACAGGCCTACTCCCCTCATCGACGTACACGGTCTCTCCAAAAAATAAAAATAAAAGAAAAGAGAGCGACGTCTTATTTTTCCTATTCGCATCGGCTCCACCGCACCGCCCGCCCTTTGGTAGCGCACGGACGAACTCTGCTAGCTCCTGCGTCCGCAAGAGCGCTGTCGCCGTCCGCATACGCACGAGCGTCGAGCGCCGCCACTAGCCGCGTACGCACGAGCTCCACCGGCTTGTGCTGCGCCACCCGCCCGTAGTGAGGGAGACCGCTGCCACCTGCACTACGGGGGTCGGACGCCTAGTCGGTGGCCAGGAAGACCTCCGCCTCCACCTGCCCAGCTCGCTGCGGTCGGGTGTGGAGCTCGCCTGCGTGCAGCTCACGGCAGCCCGGGCGGAGCCCGCCCACGCACATCTCACACCCACCTACCTAGTTCACCGTGACCGGGGTGGAAGTCGCCAGCGTGCAGCCTGCAACTGCCGAAATACAACTCCACACGCCGACGAGGATCCATTCTCCCAAGTAGCAAGAAGATTTTGCGTTGAAACTGCATGTTGCAAGCGCCTATTTCAAGTGTTTCAAATGTTTTAGAGGTACGTTGCAAGTGTTTTATATCGATGTTGTAAATGTAAATCGGGATGTTGCACATGTTGCAATGGTGTTTTCAAGTGTATGTCCAAATGTTTCATTTGTTTCAGACATATGTTACAAATGTTTTATCTGGATGTTGCAAAAGTAGATTTGGATGCTGCATAAACATGCATGTTGCAAGCGTATGTTTCAGGTGTTTCATACGTATATTGCAAGTGTTATATCTGGATGTTGCATATGTTTTGCAATGGCTACAAACATATTTTTCTAGTGTTTCAGATGTATGTTGCAAGTGTTTCAATTGTTTTGGACGTACTCCTCCATCCCTAAATAACTGTCGCTTTTGGTTTCCGTGTCATAAATTTGATTGGATTTATAGAAAATGCGTGCAACATTTATATCTCCAAATATGAAAATATATTCAACAATCTATCTAATGATAGTAATTTTGTACCTAAATATTAGTATTCTTTTATATATATTTAGTCAAAATTGTTTATCGGCAAGCGAAAACGACAGTTATTTAGGGACGCAGGGAATATGTTGTAAGTGTTTCATCTAGATGTTACAAAAGTAGATCTTGGTGTTGCACATGTTACATTAGGACCCATCTACAGTAGCCACCTACTGTAACTGGTAGGCCCGCCTGCATGTGCGTGGATGTGGAGGGGCCACTATGGTGCGGCCACGGGACACGAAGCGCGGGCCACGGTGCGAGCACGGGACATGAAGCGGCGCGGGCCGACGTTCTCTAAGAATATTGTAGAAATTTTTTCTTTGAATGTTGTTTTTTAGAAAAAGTACAGGAAATTTAATATCCACTCGAACCTATCGATAAAAATCTAATGTTTCTCTTATGGTCCATTTAAATGATTATTTCTTTCAAATTTCTATGTTTTTCAATCTTCTATTTTGCAACTACATTCCTATGCAATTTCTATATTTTTTCTGTGTTCCGAAGTGGATGTCAGTAATTTTTTTGTTTGGTGACTATAATGCAGTTGGGATTCAAATACTAACTTCAATTCAAAATAACATTGTGATACCAGATATTTGCGCGTAGCTAGGATGAGAACGCAAATGCATTTCATTTTCAGAACGGAGAACATTCTCTGCTTATAAGAAAGTCAAATATTCAGGCATTATGACAATTGAGATTTGAGAACACATATATCATCAAGAAAAGAGAAATCTAGTCTAATTCGCCAAAGAAAAAAGGAAAATAAAAGGAGAAGCAAGTGTGCTATTGCCTATCAGGCCCTGCCTAGTGGCTACTCCATACATCGATGAAACCGGCATTGCTATCACTGAAACTACAGCAGCAACTTCAAGGAAAGAGCTTAGAGACGACCACGACGACGACTAAATTCTCGTCGTCATTTTGCTGCAAACCTTATCCAGTTATCCCTGTGTGGAAGAACTCACTCCGCGATATGTGGCTTGAATCCTAGAACTGCCTCCACGAACTAGAATTTCCACCGAGCTGAGTTGAGCAAGAACACAGACGCGCATTCACTCTGGGTCTCCTTCCTGCTTCCTTTGATTGCTTGCGTCCATGGCGGAGGTTGCAGCAGTCGGGTGGGCCATCTCCACGCTGGGGTGGATCGCGTCGCCCATCACCACCAGGCTCCTCAACCATGGCTTCGCCCTCCTCGGCTTCCACGAGTCGGAGAAGCTCCGGGATCTGGAGGAGCGTCTTCTCCCGCGGCTGGAGCTCATGCGGCAACAGGCCGAGAGGATCCCTCCCGGGCAGCGGGGTAGTGTGGAGCAGTGGGCGAGGAGGCTCAAGTCCGCCTTCTACGACGCCGAGGACATCCTTGACGTCGCCGACTATCACCGCCTCGAGAAGCAGGTTACTTTCCAATTATTCTACACCTAGTTTGTGAGCAAATAGCTATAGTAGAATTAAAATTCCAGATTTGATAATTTAGATTTTCTGAAAATCAAACCAAGGTTAGATTGTAAGAATAATCGAGGGGATGCACCTAGACACTGTTCCAAAAAAATCGCGCTCTAGTTTATCAAAATACCACAGCATCCAAATGTCGCCTAAAACTGAAGTGTCAGCGTGTAACATTTCAATCTTGCCATGCAGGTCATATCTCAATCGGGAACCAAGTCAGCTATAAACCGTGTGAAAGTACAAATCACCTCTGGGAAAAACAGAAAACTGAAGAAAGCTCTAAAGAAGTTGGAAGATATAGTTGAAGAAGGGTCTCAGCTTTTGTCACCGCTGGCTAGCACCATTACTAGTGGTAGCAGTGGCAATGTCATTTCAGATCCTGCAAACAGCGCGACCAGGATTACCACTACTTCATCTCCTACAGGTTTCATAATTGGTAGAGACAAGGAACGTGATGAGATAATAAGGATGCTCCATGAAAGTGTTTGTGAACCAACCTCCAGTAACAGCAAGTGTTATTCAGTGATTGGTATCTATGGTATCGCCGGTTCTGGGAAGACAACACTAGCACAACATGTTTGTACCTTTGAACGAACAGAGAACTATTTTAGCCCTATCATGTGGGTTCATGTTAATCAGATTTTCAACATGCATGAAATTTATCATCAGATGCTGGAGGCAGCTTTAGGGGAGCCATGCCGTAAGTTCAGTAATCTTGACACCCTACAGATGAAGTTAGAGGAAGCACTGAGGGGCAAAAGGTTCCTGCTGGTCTTGGATGATGTATGGACTGGGAAGGATGTGAATGATGAATACAAATTGGATCAGCTATGTTCTCCATTGAAGGCTGGAGATACAGGGAGTAAGGTCCTGGTCACAACTCGATTTGCCTATGCAGCTAAGTATCTAAGTTGCCATAGCCCTATGCAAATACCTGACTTGAACGAGATGGATTTCTTCAACCTTTTTATGCATTACGCACTACATGATGCAAATCTCTGTGACCAAGAATCAGAAGCTTTTAAAATGATTGGAGAACGGATTGCGAAGAAATTGAAGAAGTTACCATTAGCAGCAAGAGTAGTAGGTGCACGACTACGAAAACAATTACAAGCTATCATTTGGAGAAGAGTTGAAGATCATGGCTTGTTGACAGATACCATGGGAGCTCTATGGTGGAGCTATCAATACCTTGATGAGCATGTGAGGAGGTGCTTTGCATATTGTAGCATATTTCCCCAAGGACACGTGTTTAAACGCACTGTGTTAGTTGATTTGTGGATGGCAGAAGGCTTTATAAAAACTACAGGTACCGTTGAGCAAATGGAACATATAGCACAAGGCTACTTTGATGAACTAGTGTCATGCTCATTTCTGCAAACAGGAAAATACTCAAATGGCACCAGCGAGAATGAGTGGGTTACTACTCATGATCTTCTGCATGAATTGGCTACCATGGTTGCTGGAGATGATTGTACCACAGTTGATGGCAGTGGGATGAAACAGTTTCCTCCTGATGCCCGCCATCTTTTTGTGAGGTTGGACGATCCAATGAAGTTTACCGAGCAGATTTGCAAATTAGAAAATTTACGCACGCTAATCATTACTAGAATTGGAGGTCTGACTATAACCATACAAGAATTTGAGGGAATGTTGAAGAAGTTAAAGAAGCTGCGTGTGGTGCAAGTACCTCTACAAGGCAAAATGCACACGGTCATCCCAGCCTGTATTTGTGACTTAAAACATCTACGTTCTCTCACCATCTACCCTTCATATAAGCATAGTATGGTACATTTGCCAAGAAATTTTGATAAACTATATCATTTGCAGACCTTAGATCTCTGGGATGAAGGATATTTAGAATTCTCCAACGTGAAGAACATGAGCAGCCTGATTAGCTTGAGACATGTCAAGAATCCCCAAGTTCCTTTCTATGATTTTTCAAAGGTTTCATGTTTTCCTGGGGTTGGGGAGATGAAATCACTTCGAGAATTGAGTGACTTTAGAGTGAGGAAGGAGGAGGGGTATGAGTTGCAGCAGCTGGAGAGACTAAATCACCTTTGTGGCAGCCTGAGAATCAGTGGCCTTGAAAATGTGGAAAGCAAGGAGGGAGCACTAAAAGCCAAGCTATCTGACAAGAAGTACCTGACAACATTGTCGCTTGCATGGTCAAGGAGGTCTAGTCAACAGCCAGACCTTGAAACGGAGATAATTGAGGGCCTCTGCCCACCGTCACAGCTGGCAGAACTTTGGATATTTGGCTACAGCGGATGGAAGTGCCCAAGCTGGTTGGCACAAAAGTTTAGTAGCCTACGATGCCTGGAACTCGAGCATTGTGATTACCTTGAAGCTCTCCCTGATATCAGTGAACATTTCATTCACCTTTACAGCTTAGACTTGTTTTTCTTCCAAAGCTAAAGAAGTTACCAAGACTTCCAGATAGCCTGAAGAGCCTATACATTCAGACTTGTGAGGCCCTAGTTGAGACATGTGTTGAAGATGTGAAGCTGATGAGGTCCCTTTTCAAGGAACGAGTGTCTCAAATTGAGCCATCCTTGCAGATTACAGCACATCCTGAGGAGATACATAGGTTCGCTCAAGAACAGCCTGAAAAGTTTGACGCAATCTTGCGCAGAATTTTGGAAGCACATGTGCTAGTTTTCCTCCTAGGCTTATCCTAGGCCAGATAACGGAGGAAGATTACTCCCAATTTCTGTGTTCTGCATCATTAGATTCACTCACTATCATACGTTGTGCCATCACTGACACCGTCCTCCATAACTGGTGCAGACGCTCTACATCTCTAACTTTGTTGACCTTAATTTGTCTTCCCTTTTTGAGAGAAATCCCTTGTGAGGTGATGATGTCTCTATCTATGCTTCAGACTCTCCAAGTCCAGGATTGTGTCCAATTAACTTGTTTGCAAGGCCTAAATTATCTAATCAGCCTGCAACACCTCAAGCATCGTTGAGTGTCCCAATCTTATTATGACCCTTGAAGAGGCTGAAAAGGTACAATGTCTTGACTGGATCACTGTTGACAACATACCCATTGTGCCACAGCTGCTATCAAGAGAAGGCTTCTCATCCCTACGGATGCTTAATATTTGGAAATCAGATGAGCTGAGGGAAGAAGAAATCCTGCAACTGCAACAGTTTCCTTCTCTAACATCCCTTAAGTTTGATTTCTGCCAGTGGAGCAGCTTGCCGGAGAATATGGGGACCCTGTCACAACTACAGCAATTATTTTTGCGGTGGTGCCCAAATGTCCAGTCACTTCCAACTCTGCCCGTATCTCTACGGTCTTTTACACTTTATGACTGTGACGAGTCATTCATGAAGAGCTGCCAAACGGCTGGTGATGCAAACTGGCAAAAGATTGCTCACGTCCGTACAAAAAAATTTATTCATCGGTATTATTAGAATTTAGTTGCCAATCTCTCTCTGGTATGGATGCACCTTTTCTCTTGGCCTTTCAAGACTTTAGCCGAGGACCAGAGCTTGACCTGGTTGAGAAAGTTGTGGAAGCTTGCATTTGCCTGTTCTGCAATCTGATCTGTATTTCTCAGGATGTAATAATGTTTACTAGATGTTGATTTGTTTCCATCAAGAATTGTGTTGTGCATTCGAGAATTGTTCACAAGAAACTGCACGCTAATGGTTGTGCAAATATTCCTTGCCCGTTGTTCATTTACACTACGGGTTGCCGTTTGTAACTCACACATGGGAGTTGAAAAATTATGTATGAACTAGTTAAGCTTGTGTAAAAACCAGGAAAGGCTCGCATGTTCCAAACTCGGCCGTGGTAAAAGGCTCCCCTAAACAAGCATTGCAATGATAAGAGGGTCGCGAATTGCTTTTAAAATTCAAATTGTAGTGACGTTCAATAAACCTTACTTGCAGATTCAATATTATGAACTGATGCTCGCTCATATCCCCCAGATCCTAACGGTAACAAGAAAAAAAAACTTATACGTATTGTATAGGTGAACCCGCAGAAACACAAGTTTCGGAGATCTCTGTGACCGCGTCGAAGGAGGGGAGGGATGTTATAAATAAACCACGACACCCCAGTACGCCGAACCTACAGGAGCGTCAGCTCGTTGTCGATGTCGGTGCCTTCCTCGCCGCCGTGGCTTCCCTCTAGCGCTCCTTGCTGCGGTGTTGACGACGCCGATGCGCCTCCCACTGCTCCTTGTGAGCAGCAGACGCTCGACGCCATCCACGACCACCTCGACTCCACCACAGCACTCCACCGCCACGCGCAGACTGCCGACGAGCTCCTCCAGCAACATGGTCGACATGTTCAACCTGACTCTCCTCTCCCTAACCTAGGCTCTCGATACCAATCGTTGGCTTCGCACAGGAACCACTCAAACACACAAACGGCACCACCACGGCGCGGCACACTGACGCACACGCCATGGGCACTCTGTGTCGTGGTTTATTCTAACAAGGGATGGGGGCAGGGCGCACCTGCAGCGGAACGAACGACGGCGAGGCTGCCCGGACCCCGGCGGAGGCCTTGGAGATCCCACACGGCTGGTTGGCCGCCGCTGCCGCCGGCGGCTCCGGGATCATCTGGAAGGCGACGCCCCGGCGAAGGCGAGGCGGGGCTCGGGGGCGGCGAGGCAGCGGCCGAGGAAGCAGGAGCTTTGACTGGCCGTCTGATGCGAGGTGGTGGACGTTGAGCTGTCAGATCTGACGGCTGAACGAGATGGTGGAAACAGACGAAAAGCTTGAAAACAGATCAAAATAAAATCCCAGAAAACAACAGGGTGGATCAAAATATTTCGGTCACATAAGACTTCAAACCATTTACAAGATTAGACAAAGAAAATAATAATCAATATCTATATCTCTATATTATATCTATACCTAATATTAAAGAGACAAAATTTCTCTCCATCAGATCTGACGATTGAACGAGCTGGTGGAAACATACGAAAAGCTTGAAAACAGATCAAAATAAAATCCCAGAAAACAACAGGGTGGATCAAAATATTTCTGTCACATAAGACTTCAAACCATTTACAAGATTAGACAAAAAAAATGATAATCTATATCTATATACTTAATATTAAAGAGGCAAAATTTCTCTCCACCTATTTTTTATCTGGCTATCCCTTAACTAACTTTGTGAAGGTGGAAAACCACATATAGCCCTTCTCTTTAAATAACTAGGAATCCTAATCTGACCGGATCTCTCCGATTTCAGGTGAATAGGAATCTTAATCCAAATGGGAAAAATATAATAATATGGATAGCTATGAATCTTAATCTAATTAGATCTCTCTGATTCCGAGTAACCAAAGTAGGAATCTTAATTCAAATGCAAAAATATAAGAATAGAAATCTAATAAAGAGAAAATGCATGTAGAATTTTTTTGTTTCGTTTCTTTTATGTTCTTTTTTCACTTTTTTCTACGCGTTTGTACTTGCTCCGAGTTTTGATTTGCACGCTTTTCACTTGGTTGCTAATATGTTCTGATTTTTTTTCTGGCTATTTTCTAGAGTACATTCCAATTTTTGTCATGACTGTTTTCTGCTTGGCTTCGAGTATGTTCACATTTTTTTTCTCGTGGTTGTTTTTGACACTAGCTTGACTTTTCAGATTTTGTTTTCATTGTTTTTCATGGTTTTCTCTACCTGGTTTTTTTCTGTTCTAATAAACATAGTAAGAGTAAAATATATCCTAATCCAATTAGATCGCTCCGATTTCAGGTGAACAGGAATCTTAATCTAAATAGGAAAAATATAATAATGGACAGCTATGAATCTTAATCCAATTAGATCTCTCTGACTCCGAGTAATCGGAATAGGAATCTTAATCCAAATGCAAAAATATAAGAATGGAAATCTAATAAAGAGGAAATGCGGGTAGAATTTCTTTGTTTCGTTTCTTTTCTCTTATTTTTTCAATTTTTTTCTAGTTTGTCCGTTTTTACTTGCTCCGAGTTCTGATTTGGACGCTTTTCACTTGGCTGCGAATATGTTCTGATTTTTTCGTGGCTATTTTCTAGAGTACATTCCATTTCCTTCTACCTGGCTTCAAGTATATTCAGATTTTTTTTCTCGTGGCTGTTTTTGAGATAAGCTTGACTTTTCTGATTTTATTTTCATTGTTTTTCATGGTTTTCTCCCCCTGGTTTTTCGTGTTCTAATAAAAAATAATAAGAGTAAAAACAAACAATAAATAAGAGACCACAACCATTTTAATCTTTGACTCCTTAAGAAACAAATATTTTTAGCATTGAGTTAATTTAACTTTTTAAACGAATCACTCTTGTCCAATAATGATATGATATCTTATTTCAATATGTATTGGATCCCGTTGCAATGCACGAGTACGTTTGCTAGTAATATTAAAGAGGCAAAATTTCTCGCCACCTATTTTTTTGGTCCAGCCCTTCCTTAATTAACTTTGTGAATGTGGAATCCGTCTCAGATAAATCTACATCCCTACTATTTTATTACATAAATATATGGGGTTTCTTAAGGTGAATATGAATCCTAATCTAAATAGACTCCTTCTGTCATAGGAGACTTCTTGCCTAGGAATCCTACTCGAAATAGAAATAGAAAAGGAAATAAAAGTAGAAAGTAAGCAAATATAAATTAGACAAAGCTATTTTTTTATGATCACGAGAATTGGTCTTCGTCATCGCGTGCATCGGCTCCCGGTTCAGCTTTTGCGTCCAGTTCCACGCCTATTAATTAAGAGCAAAAAAATCCATCCCAGACACATCTACACCCCTACTATTTTATTACATGAATATAAATCGTAAAACTAAAATCGCGAGCAGTTTCTTATCGAATCTAATATAAACAGAAATTGTACATATATATAAGTGCAATCCTCGACATGACTCCTACTCAAGACGTGTGCTAATAAAAATTGGAGAATGGCACGGAGTCTGACTCCAAGATGTATCGGTTTCTGTTGTAACGTACGGGTATGACTCCAGATAAAAATTATATCACGGATTTCTTTGACCCGTAGCAACGCATGGGCAAATTTACTAGTAATATATAATTTACCCGGACATTCCCAACACTCATCCACCCATCAACACAAACACACAACTGTATAGATGCAGGTGGAGGGAAGTGCAAAGGAGGGCCAAGCACCCCCTAATGTTGCTTATGGAATATAGTATCTTCTGCAATTGTTACACTAACTGGCACCCTCTGATGTGTATGTGTATTATACTAATCCATATGTTGCCATGTTGGACAATAATGCTCTGTGCAGGGCCGTGCTGGGCCTGCGGACGATCCAACAAGCCTCGCGGCTTCTCCATCTAAAAAACTGGATGCATTCCCCTTCCTCCTCGCCCATTGCAGCTTTCTCCACCGAATTGTTCTTATCCATTCGTTCTGAGCCCATCGTAGATGACTTCGATGAGGAACTAGGGG